TGCTATATCCTTTATTTTTAGATAACTTGGAGGATTACTTGGAAGGTTATTTGATGCCAAAACATAAACACCCACTTTGATAGGTGTGGAAGTGTCCACACGGAGTGATTTCGTTTGAAACTTAGGCTAACCTACCTATTTAAGAGTTACAAGAATTTAAAAGGTATCAATGTGGATTTTTAAGTTTTAGCCCCGGCTAGACAACCCCCTGTCCCTAAATTTTCAAAAATAATTTACCAAGTATAGTTTTACTGTATGTGCATATTATAGTAAATTATATTATGCATGTTTTAGCATATTTCAAGGTTTGAGAATATAACAGAATATAACAGAATTTTATATTATTTTTTCTTATTTTTCATAATTTTTTAATTTATTCAATTAAGATGGATAAAAATTAAGTTAAATTTTACTTATAAAATAAGCTATTTTTAAATATTTTTTTCACTGGACATGCATACACTGAATTTCGACCAAATAGCCTTTTAGGCATTGTGTACATATCATTACCATTTTACGCGTATAATGCACCTCCGAAGTATATACGGTCGACCAGAGGGTTCGAAAGAGCCTTGAGCCCTCGCCGAAATGAAAACCACGAGTATACGTGGGCCAAACATAGGACACAATATAATCCGGATCCGCGATCATAAAATATATTACCGACAATCCTGCTGCAACCATGCCAAAATTATTACCGCAAAACTTTTTGAATCCATACCGACAAGACTAACTTCAAAATAGTACCTTTATTAAATGAAACACAATAATTGGCAGAAAATAATTCTCCATAAAAAAGTTAAATGTTTGTACCTACAAACTTTAATCATAATACAGGCGCTGTTTGATTATTTATATCCAATACAATTCTATGATTAATTTGAGTAATAAATTTGGGGGCTGGCGAAAAAAAAACCTAATATTGGTGTCAAAACTTTTCAACAATAATAATTATTATTTAAACATTGTAAAAATCATTGCAAGGTTCCGGTCTACGAATGATATATTTTCATAACACTCATAATATGTGAGTGCCTATTTATTATAACAATATAATGTACATTGTACTTACTATTTCACTGTATATCTACTTACCTACGAGTTCAATTGTATTAATTATATATTTTACGTAAAACGTGTTTATATAATATTATATTGAAAATTACTCAATTTTATATACTAAAAAAAAAAAAAATATGTGTGATGGTAATAATATTTGTCACTTAGTTTTAATTGCTATAATATTTCGAGTGTGTGGTAGATACAATTGAATTTAAACATTCGTTTTTCGGAAATTTTAAGTCCACTTAAACATTACATTTTTTTCAAAAAATTAGATTTTTGTGACATGTAAATGTTGAATATGTAAAAGACATAGTACAAACTTATTTAGTTTATGATAAATACATTTTTTATTGTAATTATTAAGCAAATTGTTTTTTTATTCAAATATTGATGTCTTCAATTCGAACAGTACATTTTTTTTATTCAAATATTGATGTCTTCAATTCGAACAGTACATTTTGAAGTTATACTTCTTTACGCACGGTAGTGAGGAAAAAAAAAAGCGAACGGGCGGCGTGTACGAACGGGCGGCGCGTACGAACGGGCGGCCGTACGAACGCGAAAGCGTACATGTCCGTAAATAAATAAATATTGTCATGGTAATGTTGTTTTATTATATATTATAATATATATATATATATATCTGTAAATATAAAACAGTAAGCTGATTGACTGCTATCAACGCACAGCTCAGGTTAGTTTCTGGCTGAATTTGGCATACAGTTAGCTATTATGATGTAGACGTGCGCTAAGAAAGGATTTTTCGCATTTTAAATAGGTGCTCAAACAGGGACATTGAGATTCAAGATGGAAATTGAAATTTTATTTTTATTTATTAATAGTTGCTATTGGTTACAGTCTACATTAGAAATTAGCATTTATTTATTGGTTGCCATTGGTTATTCGGGCAGATCAGGTACAAGCTTGCATCAAATCAAATTATTGAACATTGCCTACCAGGGTGGCAGAGTTGCACTTTCCCCAGCACGTTACACCCAAAAAGAGTTCATCAATCATAATTTTTTTAAGAGTTGTGACGAGCAACCAAATTTGTTATATTAATCCACCGTATTATATCAAAATAAACTTGGTATAACTTTAATACTTTAGAGTTAAGTCATACACTTCCGTACAAACAGCACGGGGTCCGCGATCTACCGCAGGTAGATTGCCTACCTGATAATGTACTGCTGCGATTCAGAATTTTTATTCCGGGCAACGGAAAAGATAAGATAATTTTTGAACACCATACACCGAATATTGAATAATGAATTGAACAAAGTTTTGAGTCATAACTCATATTGAGTTGATACATTTAAAGGGCGACGAAGTGCACGGGATCAGCTAGTATTATATATTATAATCGGGCCATACTAATTAATATGAATAATTAATGATCGATTATTATTATCCATCGATCTGTCGAATAAAAATATAAAAAAAATAATAAAACTATCAATAATAAATAATTCCGGATACTTCTTCTCATTTTTTAAATTAATTAATATTTTTTTCTTTCTTTTTCACTCACTCACGTGTACCATTCAAAAGAAGTTTAACTTCCCGCGCGCGTACTGGTAACACACATGGTTTTTTTTGAATTATTTGTTCAATCCCGTGATAATAAAGATTTAATGACATGGATATGTTATTTAAAATTTAAAATTGTTTAGTAATTATATGACATCTTATAGGTATGTATTCGTCATTGTTTTCCTATCCATATTTTGTATTCACTTACATTGTAGTATTGTACCTACACACGAAATATCTGCACCTACGAATAGTATATAGGTTATGAACTTATGAACCTTCAGAATATTTTTATGTTGATCAAAATTACGAAAACATTTCGGAATATTTAAACATTTCGTTTTATTGATTTAATTTAATTTAAATATATTCCAGACTATAAAAACTACCTGTAAACGTACATTTTGGGATGGTAAACAAACAAAATTTTTAATTTTTCAAGGGACTCGACATAATTCTGTCTATCCACACTATTGGAACTATAATCTTATCAATTTTGTAGTGAACACGTATTACATAATCTACATATACCAGGTGTTGCAAACAAGGTAAATGATATGTTTATTAATAGTGTAATATTATAACTTATTTATTGTAATTCTGAGGTTTTCATAAACTATAAAATATAAATAATAGAACGCCTGTTAAACAATCAGACGAATTTTCCTAAACTAAAAATAACTTACTTTTTCTTTCGAACAGTATTGAATATTTTATTATCATGTGTAGTATAATTTCAACTATTTTAGAAGATATTTTGATATTGGATTTTTTTCTGAAAATATTTATTTATTACATTATATTATTAGTTATATTATATTAAATAATTTAAAAAATTTAAATATCAGTTTTATAGAATGAACAACGTAATATGATGTGAGCGATAATAATATTTAGTATTGATTTTATAAAGATGTAAATGTTTTTAAATATTGTTATTATAAGATTATAAGAAATAATTAATGTTTAATAGCTGTTTAACTTGATTATTATATATTTTAAAAACTAAATATTCGGCAAATTAAATAAATATAATTTTTACCTTTTCATACTTTTTCCTTTTTTTTTTTGTTGATAATATTTGTTAAGATTTCAATATAATTCAACTATAAGAATTAAGAAAAAAAAATTTCAACTGTTATAATTTTTATGAAAAATCCCAAAAAAAAATACTGTTCAATGGGTATAACACATTTTATATTTTGAGCAGAGCAATGAATGTATTGATTTTACGATGATGTGATTTTTTTTTTGTGTTGGCTTTTGGACAGTAAAATTATACTTAGATTTTAAACTAAAATATATATTCTGGTAGGTAAATAAATCTACTTTGAACTTTGGTGGGGCAAAAGTAAAAAAACCCAAACTCTTTTTTTACTAATAAAAGAAATTAGGGAAAACCGGGTATTTATTTCAAATTCAGTTTTTGAACAGATCGAAATTATATTGTTATCTAACCTACAAGTACAGTTCATTATATTTGTTATATATTTACCATACACAAATAGTCTATAAAAGTTGAAGGAATAAATTATAGCATATTATGCATGAAATAAAATATTATATTGATTAGTGATGACAAATTGACAACCAATACCACAACTTAAACAAACATATATAACGTTTATACAATTATTGTTACGAAAAATAAATTGTGTGCATGACGTATAAAATGTTTATGAGTTTGTATTTTTTTATGATTATTTAGATAGATTTAAAACACACCGGTGGCTTGACCAATGACTTGTAAGTGTCAGCAACAATTTATGTTGAAAACTATTTTTATATACATTTACCTATTTCTGTCATTTACATGATTAAAAGGTATTCCAAAAAAATTTAAAAAAAAATGGATTGGTACCTTTAAGAATATTAAATCATAGACGATTTATAAGCATTAATTTATTATAATTTGTCTTAACTTAGATATAACATATATATTTTTGTAACGATTTTAACAAAGATTTAAATGTCCAGTTTTATTTTTCATAATATAATAATAATGATGATTAGAATATAATTTTTATGATGTTAATTGTTAGGAACGTAGAAGATATCACCGTCATGTAAATGTATTCCAACAAATAAAATTGAGATAATAATATTATAACAAATTAAACGTTTGTTTCTGACAAAATTAGACATATGACACCTACTTTATTCGAACAAAATACTGATAGCTAATTGAAGTTGGTATGGTTAATAAGTATATAGCTTTGTGCGCTCAATTATAATATATATAATTATAAATGGAATCATTAAAAATATATTAATATGAAGTCACAGATATATCTATTTAAAACATAAATTAAGGTTTAATCAATTAAACAATCATACAACCAACGAAAACGGTTTGCATTATATTTCTGATGAATTTTCTTAAGCCGATTTGCTTACTTCGGTTACGGTTGCTCTGGATATTCATCGGCTAGACCCGCCTGTAACAAAAGCCAAATCATTAATCACAATAATGATATTACAATAAAAATTAAAAACATAATATTATTATAGTCGTACAGATATCATTTATCTGTAGTTTCAAAGATTTACAGTATATTCAATAGCACGATATAATATATTAAAATGAATACACGTCATATTACTCATATTGTACAAACGTTGAAATCTTAAATTTATTTATCTGACCAGTCTCTGGTAAGTTGTTCCAGAGTGAGAGGGCTGGTTTTCAGGGCGAGATATTAGGGGCCTGCTCTTTTTCCAAAAAATATTTATATTGTTTGCATACATTATTTCTAACATGTTATCACTGAACTTAATAAAAAAAATGTATTCAATTTTATAACACGCATTGAACTCGGTAAATTATAACATCATTAACAAGTGTTCGGTAATTATTGGAAATCATCCCTTGGCAAAATATCATTTTAGTTATAGATACTAACCGTTTTATTTTACATTATATAGGTTGTATGTCGTTGTACGTGTGGTTTTCTAATGATTAATGACCTATAATATGGAATTTCAAAAAATTGAAAAATAAGTGATTTTGTTCATTTTAACTGAACATTTTCTTTTTCACAATTTCAAAATTGTTTAACACAAAGCTGTATCAACGGTAAAATTAACTTTATTTTTTCAAATGGTAACAACTATACTCCGTCGTAGCACCCTGCCATAGGAGAACCGGTTTCGATAGAAGGGTGACGCGAAACCGAGCAGAACCGGAATGTTCTCTCGTGAGACAGGGTGATTATATGTTTCAATGGATTCTTGTAGATCTTTTATTGAAAATTCACATGGCTAAATTATCAATTTTGGTTCCCTACTTTATTAACTACACTCCTCTAAAGTTTAATAAATTCATTAGGTAATACTTTTCAGTTGAAACAGCTAGTACCTATATGTTTTATTAATTACTAGAGGTAAATAATTATTTTTAACTATCTTTTAAGTTTTAATGCACTTTCATAATTTTTTGTACATTAAAATCAGCTATCTAATGACACACTACACAAAAAATGTATTTAATTTTGGGATGAAAAATGCCTACGAAATAGTTGTAAAACATATAGTTCTTATCAACCCGACAACAATGTAAAAAAAAATAATAATAATGTATAATAATGTAACTGTTGATAAAACGTTTTATAACATCACTTATGTAATTCAATTCAAATAATTTAGAACTGGCACTTTGATTTCTTAGTTATCTATATCGAAAGTTTGAGAAACCCACTCTGAATTCAAACAGTTCTTAATTTGACTTTGTATAGTACGTAACTCGTCTAAGGCCAAGGGGAAATTTGAATTCAAGCATTAGAAACTTACTTTGTTGGCTTCTACCGCTATGCAAGGAATTAAGATTCCGGCCAAAGCACACTCTTCAGTCGGCAAGTTATCTGAAATTAAGATCACACAAAACAAAAAATTTTATTAAATTCTCCGCCAGGAAATGATAAAAATAGTATGTACTTAATGCCTGTTTAATTTACATATTTTAATAGATAATATTATGTGTTAATTAAGTAGATGTGTATAAACGGTATTCTAAAAATATAACGTATAATTAACCACGAATTTTTCAAAATTTAAAACAAATTTTAAATGAAAGTGTTACATTTTTGAGTAAATCAATGTTGCAAAATGTGCAAAATGTATAAATTGTAATCAATTATATGCCCGTGGTAATTTATATTATATATTGTATTGTAATTATGTTGTTCGTAAATCATTTGACCCAAACAATCGTCGGTCACGAATCACGATATCGTTTACTGTACCTTTCTTTGTGCAAATATCGACGACTTGTTCCACCTTTTTACTAATCAAACGTCTTTTGTAATCGGATGTCCCATAGAAATTCAGTACATATGCGTTCAACACATCCACAGAAACAATGCCATTGTTAATCTGGACACAAATTATATACATTTTATACGTTGTGTTTTTAAGAAGGTCTTAAGTATTAGGTTATTTGTAAACATACAATTTTTATTTAACAATAGTAGGTATACGTATACTTACTATGTGGTTTTTTCTCATCATACAACCAAACATACACTGTAATGTACAAACGAATATCAATTAAATTACTTTATTGATTGATTTATTATTTTAAATAATATCATTATCCATTGAGTATAATAATATTTTATTGCCAATATCTGCAGGTGGTACTAACTAATCAATGATAATACTGTTGTCTATTATACTTTAAAACTACTTACTTTATGGGCTTGTGTCTTTAGTATTACTAATTGGCTATCATTTTCCGTCGCAAGCATAGCTTGAAATTCATCTGAAAATTAATGTTATTAAACACGATAGGCTTAGTATTAATTATGTTATTTTTAATTAGTTATTAGCAATTATATTTTTTTACCACAGATTGCAAACAATTGAAATTAATAAATGCTTTACTGATGTTAGGTTTAATCAAATAAATTTGCATACGTATTTACAAATATGGTTAACAAAGCATGCTCGTTATATTTTCCTTTACTAATGAATTTTCTTGGCTTTTAAGCACCTATTCTGGCTATACTTAAGGAACATTCAACATACTTTCAAATACTTAAGATTGCTTGTACCATTTAAGGAGTGTCCTTTAGTATTTATTTTTATCAAATAAGTTTTATCGAATCACTCTTTTTTACTGTAAAATGTTTGCAGATAAATCTTTTTGAAATGTTTATGCTTCTAAATTTAAATTTGTACGAAAAGTTTTTAAGTTAAATTTTAACTTTGTGTATACTGAGCATAATAGGTCCATAATATAATTTTACTGATAATCGTTATCATTAAACCAACATTACCTCTTGACATATTTGTTTCCAATAGACAACTTTCCGTGTTACTATTATATCTTTTTTGGTCGTTTTCACACTAAAATCATACGAATAGTTTGTATACATTAATAATATTACGATTTAATAATGTAGACTATTGTATTCATTTTCAACACGATTATTTGCTTTATATGTTTGTAGTTTAAAAAATATACTACCAAGTATACCTATTTAGAAATCACTGTCAATCAACATATTTAAAAAAAGAATGCTGGTAATTGGATGTCGCTCTGCTGTACAGTAGGTTACAAGTGGGCGACTGTTATGGATGGTGTTAAATTTAAATTCAATGATATAATATCATTGTATAAGAAAAATGATTCTGAGCGGAGACGGTTTGTCAGCCTAAAATATTTTATATTCTTGTTATTAATACAGTAGCTGGTTAAGTTGATTATTTGTTTATTATCGTATTTGTATATAATAATATACTTAAGCAGTTTTGAGTACCCAAGAATATTATTTTTTAAATATAATACAAAACTAAAATCATTCTCCTTCGTTTAAATATCCAATTTCATCGAAATTTGAACTTTAATAAAATTGTTTTTTTTTATGTATTTTAGATTTTTTGGTTAAAGAATAATCTACTTAGGTGAAAACTTGTTTTAAATTTTAAAGTCTTAACTATAAAAGGTAAAACTTTTATACATTTTTAACTACCAAATCATTTTTTGATTTCAAATTTGATAAATTGTGTCAAAATTAGAACTTTAAATGTTTATAAAACAAACTGTGTATTTTTTAATATTTTTTAACTGCTTTTGTATCAATATATCAAGAGTCAAGTATTAAATTGTCAAGCCTTTCACCTAACGAATACATTTCATTGACATTTATAGAAAAAAACTAAAAAAACTAGAAAATTGTATACGCCTGTAGAGCTTAACACGAGTCAAAATATTTTGAAAATTTTCCAAAGTAAATTAATATATTTTGTAAATTTAATGTGTCAGCTATTTGTTTTTGAATTACAAGTAAATAAGAAAATCACTACATGAGAAATCGAGTGAATGGTAAATGTAAAAATTAGAACTTCAAAAGCTCATAAAAATAAAATTATATTTTTCGGTAAATATTTTTTTTTTAGAATGGTAAACAAGCTTGTGACTTATGAGGAATCTTGTATTAAATTTTCAAATCTTAGATTTAAAAAAAAAAGTTTTTATGAATTTCTAACTAAATATAATGTGCACATTTTGGTGAATTTTAAGTATTTTCTCAATATTTAAACTTTATAATTTATATGCTTCCAAAAAAAATTTGTGACAATGGATTTTAACATTTTTCATCTGTCTTTGAAACAATATATTAGAAGCCTTCTATTTTTTTCCAAGGTTTTTTACCCAACAAATAAAATGTTATTGATATTTATAAAATTAAAAATTAAAAAAACGGTAACTGAAAATGTCCGTAAACAGTTCAAAATAAGTAAAAATATTTTCAAAATGTTATGGTGTATAGAAAATGCTTATATAAACATTCAGTCAAAAATGCATGTACCTACGGTCATTACTTTTAGAGTTACACCAAACACCAACATTTATACTTTTGACCACTCAAAGTACCAACTTTCCTATTAGAAAAGATACTGTTGAAGAAAATAGAAGCACTTTTACAGTTCTAAAATGTGATGACATTAAAAAAAAAATTTTTAAATTTTAAAATTAAAAAAAAAAACACATCATTGTAAAATCAATGCATTCATCGCTCCGCTCAGAATTTAAAAACTGTAGCAAATACATGGAAATCCTAGCCTTACCATTTTTATATTACATTGTAATTATAATACAATATACGAAGTCCAACAACCAACGAAACATTGTGACTTATAAAATAACAATATAATATTATGTACATTATATATCAGTGTCTTAAGCGAAAGTAGTATAATATTATAATATAATATCCTGTTTAACTTACGAAAACGGCGGTGACAGACAAGCACGCAAACATCATCACTTTAAGATTCAACATTTTCACGTTTTATTGCTAAAAGTATTTAGGTAACTTCAAGGTGTATTTTTAAAATTATAATAATTTACCAGAGTGATTTGTTACTTGATATTGGTCGACTGTAGTTGTGTAGAGTTTGGTAACTGGATAGTTTGTTTTACTCTGTTTCAGTTTTTATAGACTTCCTACTAAATCTAAAAAAAAAATAAAGTTATAATAGATAGAAAGAAAGTAAAAGGAGAATAATAATATCTAAGAGGTATTGATAGAATGGCCCTTTCAAGTGATCATCGACATATGATATAAATAACAAAGGTATGAATATGTTGTTACAAATAACAACATGAAAAAAACGAAACCTTATCGATATTTACCAATAGAATTATAGTATTTTAATTAAATGTTAATTAAAATAATTATAATAATTGATCTGATAACCTCTTTTTATATTTTTTAATTATGTATTATGAATAAAATTGTATTGTTATAATATCAAGAAAACAATTATTATAATTATAATTTAAAAAGTATGATACAACGATTTGTATATATATGTAGATAAGTACACATATACGAGACTGGACTTGTTAACTAACTTATGTTAGGTCACCCGTTAAGTTGAGTTAATATAGAAAATGTTAGTTAAGTTTAAAGTTAAAGTTTCAAGTTAATTAAAAATAAAAGTAAATATAAACTAAATTGAAAATCATTTGCTTATTATTTTGATTATTAGAATAATATCAAAATAACTATTAATTAATAATGAGTATGTAACCGAGTATAGGATAGGTATATGTACTAGGTAAATTAGTTATATTTTTCTTTCGTTATAATGGTTACTCTTCTAAATGTTGACCCATATATTATCTATATACCTATTCTTATTTAGTATTTACTCGTTTCAAATATTTTGTACACCTTTGTATTTATACACGTTATTTCGATCACCGCTATAGAGTCCAGAAATAATGCAAATCACTTCAACAGCACGATTCGGTAGGTGCATATTTAGAATACGCATAACATTATAATTTATAAATAATATTAAATATTTTCAATTATAGGTAATGATTTTTTGTTTATATAAAAATAATATATATTTTAAATTTATGAGGCTTATAAAGTTAATAAACTTATAAGTTAACATGGAGTGAAAGTTACTTCTAAAAAAAAGCAACTAGTTATGAAACTTAATATTAACGTTTTAACTTATTAATGCTCAGCCTTGGTTTTATGCAATAAGTGCTCGTGCTATTGCTTGTGTATAATGGATGTTAGGTTGATTGTGGGCGAGTGATAGGCATTGAAAGTACATTGGCATGGTTAATTAAATTACTCAAAGTTATACTTAAATGGGGTCTTATTTTAACAAAATATGGAACAGAAATACTTATATAAAATAAGTAATCAAGTTTTTTTCGTCAAAATATTACATTTAATTTTCATTTATTAAAATGAATATATTATTGTATATGTTTAAATTATCTGCCTAAGATATAGCCAGGCCATAAGTCCAAAATGGTAAATTTAACTTTTCTACATTAATAAATAGGTAAGTACTAAGTACTATATTTAATTACAAAGTTATGCCTAAATATAAAGTAACTTAAGCTATCACAATAGTTATTTAAAATAATAGTTAACAATAACTTCTTGTTTTAATATTTGTTACAATTTGTATTAGTTTTGCTATTTTTACCTTTTCATAGGTATCTATTATAGTTTAATGAATATCAAATACAAAATTATAACAAATAAAACGTGTCATAATATTTTTCAACTCTAATAATATTATTATAATACTAGTTAGAAATAATGTTGGTAATATCTGTTGATAGTACGAATAATACTTAGGCAATGTGTTGGATGATTAGATTAATTAATCCAAATCAACATAAATTGGTATTATTACGGACTTTGTTCCCTACAAGATCGTACTCAACATAATACAGTCATGGTACTATGGTAGATTAACAATACCTAAACAAAAACACATCGTGGACTTAGTACTGAGTCCACGTACATTTTAGAAACCAAGGACTTTTCTAGAAATTTTTCTCTGCACATAAATAATATACATAATCTTTATTATATTGTATAAAATATTATGATAATCCTTTGACCTTGCCATATTCACGAATATTGCAAGATCTTAACTCTAAAACGCTGACCACTTTGTCGATTTGAAGAGCATTGATAATTTTTAACATGTTTATCCAACCCACTTTACCTTCGTCTATCTCTCATACATATTGTTAAGTATGATTAATGATAACATACAACATCTTATATCTATCAGTTAGTCATTGGTCGTCACTTCCACACGACCGCACATCTATAGTTTCCTACGAAATAACAAATATAGTACTTTTCTTATAACATTTTAAATTGTGCGTAATATCCTACACATCTAAACAAAATAAATGCAAATCAGCGAATAATGATAAGATTGCTGTTCAGCTAGTTTGTGAATACGAATAGGTTAAAACAAAAATGACGCAGTTGTGTCAGATAGCTTACTGGTCAAGGTCAGGGGGTTACATTAGCAGAGACCTCAAAACACGCAATATTCAGATGATGTTTTGAGTCAGTAATATACACAGTGGCGTATTTAGAAATACACCAAATGTTATGCCCCTTTTTCTTAAAATCAAAATTGAGTCATATATATAATTATTATAAGGCGCTAGTTTACGATGACGTATCTCCGACATACAGGGATACCATAAATAGCTTACCAATTATACAATTTTTAATTTGTCAAAATATGTTAACGGTTCAAAACGTGACTTATCATAATAGGTTTTTAAAACTTCATCCCTTAATATTTTGAATGGCTACTAGGGCTATTACACAATAGAGCATATTACACCATTTTTTAGTACACGATTGAGATTATTTGTCAGCGTGTCAAAAGGTATAAAGTACAATAAATACATTTTTGATCAAGCATAAACAATTATCAAAAGCATATTAATTTAAATAACTGCAGTGATACAACAGTGGTCTATGTATTAAAGAAACACAATTTCATGTTCATATGAGTTAACATTTTTTAATTTTTATACCTTGGTTTCTGTTTCCAATTAATCTTAAATAATATATAATAGTAATTATTCAGTATTTTTAAACTTTGAATATTGGTTAAAAGATATTGTATTTAATTGTATTTTTTATTTTTTAATTATTTAGTTTTTGTGATTTTATGAAATTTTGCGCTATTCAGTGAAAAACTTCACTTCAGAGTTATTGTTCAAAATTGCAGTTTCAATATGGGAACATTACATAAAATATTCTATGCTCAACCGTGTTGCTAAAAAGGTATACCTACGCTCTACCGGGTTTTACCGGCTACTAGTTGCGTCCCTCGTTACAAATTTCCCCAAATTGTGCCCATGTTTTTTTAGATACCTCTATACGTCCTAGATAATAACTCAAAATACAAAATATAAAAATAAGTAATATATATTATGAAACTTCGTTTCACCTCTTTTTTAAGTGGACTGACTGTAAAATTATAACTGCAGGCTAAACATTTTGTTTTGCTGTTTTTATTTTAAACTGTTGTCACTTTTTTTTTCATATTAGGTACTATAGCTCTGCTCTGGTAAAAGCTATATTATTTTAAATTATTTATAAACTCATATTTGTTGATTCGTTACTGTAATTATTAAACGGTTTTTTTTTTTTTTTATTTATTGAGCTTGAGCCCGGTAACTAAGGCCATTAGCTATTTATTGTTTTGTTTGTAGGTTTTTGTAGAAGGAGGAACACGTGTGTTTTGTTTTAGCAGAATTTTTGATTTGGGTACCCGTAGGTATCTGCTATGCCCAGGTGGGGATGGCGGCACTTGTTCTCCGGACACCGTGACTTGCCAGAAGAAAAATGCCGCCCATAGATGAGGTATCGAACCTCCGTCAGTGTGCGTTGCAACCGACGCCTTAGTCCGCTCAGCCACTCCGTCCCCCAATATCAAACAGTTAATGCTAATATAATATGATACTTGATAGATATATTTTAAAACGATGAACAATAAAATATAAATACAATAATAAAGTAATGTACCTGTATTATGATTGTCGACGGTCATTTGTCATTATTATTAAATTACTACGATAAAGTTATAGGTACGAATGATGGATACATCTTAAAATGGTATATTATATTAATCGGGTAACAATTTAGATATAACTAAAAAAAACTCAAACCACAACTCGGGTATAAATACGAAAACCCGGGACCGTATTTGGATTAGATAATTTGCGAACTGATCTTTAGGATGCAACTAGTAATGTGGCCAACATTTCACATTTGAAACCAACTTTACATATTTTATTTCCCTTTCGTGAACATTTCATCAATACATATTAAGTTGTAAAATTATTAAAGTAATGTACAGTAAAATTACAAAAAATTAGGTACTCTGAACTTAAATTACTGTCTGAGCTCCCCTAAATACTCCTCTGTAGTCTGTAAAGACATCAACTTTTTGAAAAATGTTATTATAAGTTATAATATATTTTCTACTAAGAATAAAAATCAAATTTACTAATCATTGTTCACACGTAACAGTACATACACTTTAATTTAAGTATATTTGCACATTTTCAACATTAGGAAAAATAATTATTGTTATTATAAGTAGGTATATAATATATTAAATAATAATTATAGGTGTTACCAGTTTGAAAATACACCCAAGCATCATTAATTTAAGGATTTAATGATACAGTATTTTAGTAAAGTATTTCTAAACAAATCATTTT